GAAGCCGAGGGCCGGCGGCGCAGGCCGGGAGGGGTCGCAGGGCTGCGAGCCCGGTCACTTACGCGCGGGCTCTGGGGAACCCCATGGAGAGCAGCACGTCCAGCGCCGATCCATGCTTGATGGTGCCGGGGCGCTGCTGGCGGTTCCTCCGGGGGGTGACTTTGCTGTACAGCTCCTCTCTCGCGGCCATGCCGAGCGGGCTGGGGTGGCCGTGCGGAGCCTGGACTCAGCGGCCAGCCATCGGGGCGCCCCCGGCGCTGCGCTGCAGTAGCCCTCTCTCCTCCGCCCCTTCCCTGCTCGCCGCTCGCAGTCCGGGAATTTGCAATGAGTAATTTTTGAATGGATCAAAAAGGAAAAAGAGCCCGGTGGGCCGTCCCTGCCTCGCCTGCACCGGCGCCCCGCCCCTCTCTTAAAGCGGCAGTGCTCTCCGAGGCTGCCCGCCGCCGGGTGCGTGCTGTGGCCGGCTGCTCCTGGGGAGGGTCCTACCCAGCGAAGGTCGCCTGTGTGCTTTGGTGCCAAGGGTCACCCCCAGCGCCCCGGCCCTCTCCTCTGCTTGCATATGGGCCCAACTGGGCTTCAAGACTCCAGATCAACCCATGCCACGTTTCGTGTGGTTTTAGCTGGGGTTAATAGTGGAAACCTATGAACTCATGGATGGCATTGATGGAACAGAAGGCCAAGCCATGAGGCCCAGGTTGAAGATTTTGCTTCTGAAAGTCCCCGCAAAACCCAGAGGGTTGTTACAAGGCTGCTGGGGGTCAGCTTCCATTAGCGGCCTGTGGTTGCACCCGAGACCCACCCAGCTCTCCAAGGTTGTACTGTGGTCAGAGACTGGACGGTGACTTCAGGAGGGAGAGGGGGACCTCAGGTCCTCAGAGCTGACAGGACCTGGGAGGGAAGACGACAGGGGGAAAGACGAAGAGGAGGGGGAAGAACCAAGAAGGAAGGAGGAAGAGAGGAAGGACGGACCAGCAGGGTGGAGGGAGAGGAGTGCTTTCTAATCTCAGGAAGCCTTCACAATGGAATGGACCGATTTTCAAGACAAGAGGGAGGATTTGGTCAATAAAAGGACTCACCCAAAGGAATGCCACAGCAGTCACCTGAGCTATTGCATTGCAGGCTGGTCAGAACCTCCAACCTCCGGTGTTGGGAGGTGGTGGAAGTCGTGCCCACCGCAATGCCCCCACCCTGAACTGAGCTGAGAGGTCCAGTCCAGGCTTGGAAGTTAAGACAGCAGGATCCCACATGACTAGCTGTGCAGTTCGAGTCCTGACCCAGCAGCTTGAAACACATGCCTGGTGTGTGTGGACCTGCCTAAAATCCAAAGAGGAGAAGGGATATGATGTGGGCATCCCCCCTCAGGGGTGCTTTCTCTCTTTCTCTCTTTCTCTCTCTCTCTCTCTCTCTCTCGCTCTCCCTCTCTTTCTAGTAAGTATACATGCCCTATAGCAAAATAAATAAATACATGCATACATACGTAGCCCCTTTCATTTCTGGGCGAAGTCAGGACAAGCTGGTATAATGAAAGAGGCCCAGAGTGAGCCCTGGCTAGTTCTCCTTTTTGGGGTCATAATGATAATAATAAGACCTGGCATTTATTGGGCTCTGGTGTGTGCCAGCCATTGTGCTAAGCAGGATGATTGAATTAACTCATTAAACTTTTATGATGGCCCCATGGGGCATGTGGGTTCATCATCCCAGTTTTATAGATGAGAAAACATAGCTCAGAAAGGTCGGGGCAGGTCAGAGAGCTGGAGAGCTCTGGTCGACTATGGGGCTTGGGTAAGCTACTCCCTCTGCAGCGTCCTCGTCTGAGTGGGTCACAGTGACCAGCCTTGCACGCACTGGGTTCTGCAAACCGTCAGCCCCAAGTCTTTCCTGGGTGGCGTGTGGGGAGGGGTGGGACCAGCTCTTGGTGCGCTTTCAGCTGTTTCTTTATAAGGCATGTAAAAGTTCCACCAGGGGAAATGATATGGCCTGGAATTGGTTTTCCAAAGACTACCCAAAGGTGTTTGGGAGTGAGGAGATTCGACAGCAGGGGAGGAAGCAACCCTGATCCTTCTGCCTCCTGCCACTAAGAATGGGGGCAAGTTCACACCTCTCTGTGGGAGCTTTTTCCAGAGCAGAGGGGATGTCCTGGAGACCTCTCAGAGTGCTTTCCCAGGGCGAGCAAAGGCTAGGACTGAGTCAAGCACTGTATTACCAGGCTGGCCTCCTCGGGCGTGTTCTGCAAAGCATGCAACCCTCACCCAAGATCCCACATTTGTCCCAAATCCCTGGGCTGCAGTCAAGTGACCTGGATCCTTGTCAAGAGATAACAACGTTTGGGGAAGCACTTTGGAAACCAAAAAGCACCATATAAATAATAACACATTTATTGAGCACTTAATACCTGCCGGTGCTGTCCTTAATTCTCTTTTTGCTTTTGATGGTTTTTAATTACACACAAAAAAGTTTCCTTTTCAAAATTGAGCTTTTCTGATTCTGTACTTGTGCCTTCCACATGTTCACAATCATTTTATGCTCCTCAGTAAGAAAGGTGTGCATGGGGACCAGCAGTTGGCATAATGACTGTGTCGCTGGACTCCCATGTAGCCAACCGCAGTTTGAGTCCTGGAGCCAGTTGGCTTAAACTCACGCCGGGCGTGTGTGTGTGTGCATGCCCAAGATCCCGAGAGGAGAATGGAGGAGAAGGGATTTGCGGTGTGATTATCCCCACTGCGGCGGGGGTGGGGTGGGGTGGGGGGTGGTGGTGATTTCTAGCTTTCTGTCTCTCTCTGTCTCTCTGGCAAGCGCATGCTCCCGATAGCAAATACCTCTCCAAAAAAAAAGGAAAAAAAAAAAAAGAAAGAAAGTTTTGCTCGATCTTGTCAAGAACACATCATTGGGGCCAGCAGGTGGTGTGGTGGTTAAGGACTAGATTCCCACACGGCCGACTATGGTTTGAGTCCTGGACCTGGGAGTTTGAAATTCACACTGGGGACATATGCATGTGTGCCCCAAATTCCAGGAGGAGAATGGAAGGGAAGGGATTATAGGATGGCCATCCCTCCTGGGGAGTGAGTTCTCACTTTCTCTCTCTCACGCTCTCCCCCTCACTCTGTCTCTCTCTCTCTGGCTAATAGATAGGTCCTATGGCAAAAACCTAAAGAGCAAAATGACTACCACCTTGTTTCTTCTGTTTTCGATGACTTCATGAGAACTTAGGCCTCACAGCATGAACCCCGGGAAGTCTGCCACATGCAGATTTTTTTAAAAAAAGAATTATTTAATTAATTTTATTAATAATTATTATTATTTAACTTGCTATAGGCACATGTGCTCTCCAGAGAGAGACAGAGAGGGAAGGTGAGAAAGCCAGCCACCAGGTCTGGGACTTGAACTGAGGTTGGCCATGTGGGAGTCACCTGCAGTCGCCACCTGCAGGTTTGGGTGCTTCTCAATCGACTTGGATTAAAGGTAAACAGTTATATTAGTAGGGGTTTGGATGGCCTCGTTCTAGAAGCTGTGAAGAAGGAAAGCTTACAGTGCAGGACAGATTTGAGCGCCTCCAGACACCCGCTCTCCCTATGAGAGCCGGGTCTTCGCTCCTTAGACGTGTACTCATTTAGTCCCTGATGAGTGTTTGAAGTAGGTACTGCCTTCTTATCCGACACTTAGAAACGAAGATGCTGAAGCAGACAGGTCAAGTGTCTCATCCAGAGTCACGCGGTTAGTAAGTGGTGGAGCCAGAATTAGAACTCTTAACACTGCGTCAAAGAACCACCCCCACGATTAGGGTGATAAGGAGGATGTTAACCTTTATTATTGCTGATGGTAATTGGCTTTTTGACTTTTCTTATGACCTTTGACGTAAAATTATTGCATCTCTGTTTCTCTGGAAACATGGAATTCATGGTCTTGCGCCCTGCCTGGGGCAGACTGTAAGAGAGAGGAAAGGATGCCTATAAAAATGGTTGTAGGTAGCCTGGAAGAAGCCCGACGGGAAACCAGGCATCTCACAGACAGGCCATTCCATCTTGGCACTTTCAGAGAAGCCCCAGTGTGGCTTCCTCACCCTTCTTCGGCTCATGCCAGCACTTGTTTTATTTCGGACTGCTGCTCTGTGTTCTGCCGGGGGTTGGGACTGGTGAAGAAGACGCATTGTGCTTCAATTATATCCATTTTGACAAGGTAGGAGAAGCTTTATAAACACCCATATTGGGGCCAGCAGGTGACGGGGTGGTAATGGCGCTGGACTCCCACATGGCCAGTTGCAGTTTGAGTCCCGGATCTGGCGGCTTGCTTTTCTCACTTGCCCTTTCTTGCTCTGGTCAAATCAAAATCATAATAATAGTAACAAATACAATGACATAAGTAGATCATTCTTTACAAAGAAGACAAATGCTCATGTTGTTCTATTGCAGAGAGATGAGGAATGACTTCACGTGCAGGACTGCTGGGCAGCGGGCAGGGGTGAGGCAGGAGGATGGCCTTGCCTGGTAATGGAGCCTACGGCAGTGCCATGCTGCTTCCCTGAAGCAAAGGCAAGTGGTCGTGTCCCTGGGCCCATCGCATAAGAGGCCACCACGGTCCACAGGCCCGTTTGGAGCACTGAGCGCTGCTTCACTCCACCCCAGTGGCTCCAGCTGCTCTCTTCTCAATATGGCTGCCCTTCAGAAACGGCCATCGGGAGGCCTGGGGTGGGCCCAGTTATGTGCACTCATGATTTCTAAGTGCATCCTATGACTTGTACTTCTCTCTGCCCTTGGGAAAAGGTCAAGTGAGCACAGTAAGAACAGGCAGTGAAGTCAAGTCCGCAGAATGGCTCTAGTGTCCTGCTGCTGGGCAGAGGGGGGCTGTCACCTTTTTGAAGCTCTGGGAATGATGTTAGCCCCAGAGTCAAGGGGATTCTTTGTGGACGGAAGATTTTAAAACCACGTGCTACCCCTCTGTGGGCCTCAGCTTTCCCACCTGCCAAAAGAGGGAGTTAGTTTAGGCTGGGAGCCCTAGGACTTTGCTAAGGGACACCCAGGAACTCTCTGGGGAAGGGGCTGGAGTTGGTTAACTACAGGCTGTGTGGGTCAAGATGGCACCCTGGCTTCCTCTTTCAGAGCCAGGGCAGTTCATCAGCTTTGTATCTTGGGAGTTTTATGTAAGATTTTTCTGTGGGAGGGGCCTGCAGGTAGTGTGGTAGTTAAGACACTGGCTCCCTCATGGCCAGCAGTGTGGTTTGAGTCCCAGACCTGCTGGCTTGA